TCTTCATGTCCTGTCTCTCAGAAAGAATGTTAGTTTCATCAAAAACTATATGTACACTTTCTTCTACAACATAGTTCTTATTGTACACTATATAAGCTTTGCTATGTGAAGAATATCCCAAGAATACTCACTCATCACTTTTGGGATCAAACTTACCTAGGGAGTCCTTTCTATTGTTGTGCACAAAGCACTTGCATCCAAATTCCCTAAGATGGGATATATTTGATTTTCTCCTTTAATTAACTCATAGGGCGTCTTCTCTACAAGAGGTCTAGTCATGCACCTATTAATAATGTAATATGCAGTGTTTACAACTTCTGCCCAGAAGCTATGGGGCAGTTTACTAGAAAGAAGCATAGTCCTAGCCATATCTTCAAGAGTCCTATTCTTTCTTTCAACTACTCCATTTTGTTGAGGAGTCCTAGGGGCATAAAAATTATGATCTATACCATGCTCATCACAAAATTCAGCAAACTTAGCATTTTCAAATTCATTTTCATGATCAGACCTAATTAATATAAGTTGATTACCTAGTTGTTTCTGAGTTTTTCTAACAAAGGTAGTAAACATGTCATATGCTTCATCCTTAGATGTTAGAAACAATGTCCAAGGAAACCTAGAGTAATCATCAACAAGCACCATCACATATTTTTTACCACCTCTGCTTAATGTTCTCATTGGGCCACAGAGATCTGTATGAACCAATTCCATCGACCTGGTCGTGCTTACCACTTTCTTGCTTTTAAAAGAGGATCTTACCTGCTTCCCCCTTGCACAAGCCTCACAAAATTTGTCTTCCTTAAACTTGATGTTAGACAGCCCTATCACCAGGCCCTTTGAGACTAATTTGTTGAGTTGACTTAAACTTGCATGTCCAAGTCTTTTGTGCCAAAGGAGGGGATCATTGTCCAAAACACTTAAGAAAGGTGAGTTCATTTTCTGAAAGAGTGGACAGATCTACAATGTATATATTGTTTACTATTTTTCCCTGCAAAACAATCTTGTCAGTGGTAAGATTTATCACAAAACATTTGGTAAAGATGAATGCTACAAAGTTACCTCTGTCACACAGTTGTGATACACTGATTAGGCTATATTTCAAGCCATCTATCAAGTAGACATTCTCAATGGAATGTGAGTCTATCTTACCTACCTTTCCAACCCCAATGATCTCTCCTTTCTTACCATTTCCAAAGGAGACATTACCTCCTTTGAGGTCCTCAAGTGAAAGGAACCGGTTCTTGCTTCCAGTCATATGCTTTGAGCAGGCACTGTCCATGTACCATATTTGGCTGCTCCCCTTCACTTTGACCTACAAGAGAAAATCCGGGGTTAGTCTTAGGAACCCAAACTAGTTTGGGTCCCTTTCTATAGGCAAAAGGGTGAATTAAATTCTATTTAGCCCATCCTAGCAGCCTATTTTTCCCTTGAACAAAGGTTTTGTTCTTTTGACTGGCCTTTTCTTTTGCATTACATTCACTTTTAAAGTGACCAGTCTTACCACAATGTGTGCAGATTTTGTTCTTAGGAAGTGTGATGTACTTGCTTTTGGGATCCCACTTAGGTGCAGGGGTCCTATAGCCGAGTCCTCTCTTATTGCTACTGTGATGTTCTTGTAGCCAAGATAGTGCATCAGAGGACTTATTCCATTTGCAAGTTCTGTCTAGTTCATGCTTAACCTTGCCTAGATCTTCTTTTAGGACTCTTATCTACTCATCCTTTTTGTACATCCTTCATTTTTCCTAAATTTTCTTCTAAGGTGAGGTGTATGTGATCAACTTTCTTTTTACCTGTTCCTAACATCAGTTTTAAATTTTTAGATCTAAGCTTTAACACAGTGGTGTCAAGTTCAAGAACCTGGTTCTTCAACTCAGTATTTTTACTATCACTTTCACTAGCCCTGAGTCCAGATTCTTGCACTTAGCTTTCAAAATTACACATTCCTTAGACAACTGTTCCTTTTCATTGTTTATGACCTTAAACTCATCAATGAATCTAGCAGTAACTTAGATAGCTTTTCTTTAGACAAAAATTTAATCTTGTCTTTGAAATGAATCACACTTACCTCTTGTTCATCATCCGATTCTCCAATGGCCATAAGTGCTTGTTCATCTCCATCTTCATCTTTTGAATCCTCATCTGAGCATTCCTCCCCAGGCAGCAACCATAGCCTCCGTTGATCCTTTGTTCTTCTTGGGATGAACCTATTTCTTCTTCCTGTTTCTTCGTTAATCCCTTTCCTTCTTCCATTCAATTTCCCATTAAGGACAGTTTTGTAACAGCCCTCGTTGGTCTGTTTTTCAGGGACCATTGGTTTGTTGTAAGTTGCACCTCTTGAAGAACCTTTTCCTATTATTAGATACTTCTTGAAGTCCCTCGTGATCATATCCATTTCATCTTCCTCTAGATCTGCACCTTCAACAATTCTGAGAGCCAGGCTTCTTTCTTTCTTGGGAGCATCCATCTTCATGGTCTGCCTTCTCAGTTCATAGGCTGTGAGATTTAATCAATTCGTCCAACTTGAGAGTGGCAATGTTCTTCGATTCCTGAATAGCAGTGATTTTGCTTTCCCAAGTAACTAGCAAAACCCTTGTCAGAATTTTCTCAACTTTGTCTTCTTCAAGGATAATCCTTCCAAGAGACTTAAGTTCATTTGTTAGTTTTGTGAACTTTGTATATATATCAGGGATGGTTTCTCCTTCTTTCATAGTGAAATTCTCATATTGAGAATATAGCAGTGTTCCTCTTGATCTCTTCACTTGAGGAGTTCCTTCATGAGCCACTTGTAAAGTGTCCCAAATTTCCTTAGCAGTAGTGCAGCTTTGAATTCTGTTGTACTCGTCTGGACCAAGTCCACACATAAGCTATTTCTTGGCCTTAGCATTCTTTTTCCACTTCTTCAAGTCCTCACCAGTGCAGTCAGCTCTAGTCTTTGGCACATCCACTCCTTTAGCATTCTTCTTCATGGTAGCTAGGGGACAATCAGTAACAATTTCCTAGAGTTCATAGTCCTCTACAATAATATGATCTCTCATCATGTTTTTCTACCAGGAGTAGTACTGACCATTAAAGAGTGGAGGCCTAGTAGTGGGATTGTCCTTCCAAGTTTTCAGGTGGTGCACTCATCTTGATCTATTCCTAAGGTGTTAACCTCTTCAAAGATAACCTGCTCTGATACTAATTGATATTTTATACTTCAATACCACACAAGAGGGTGGTGATTTGTGTGGTGTCCAATTTTTTGCTTAACCTGATTATAGAAGAACATGGTTCTTCTATGTGTTCCAACTACTTCTGTTGCGGAATAATAAGTACAAAAATTAAAGAACACAGAGATTTTACATGAAAAATACCTGGCTCAAAAGGTAAAAAAACCACGTTTACCTTCAAGTAGGATTTTTCCAACCTCTCCATTAAAATCACTGAGCTAAAAACTGCAGTTACAAAAACTCTTTTGTAAACCTAGGATTAACTCTAATCCTGTTGTAGCACACAACCCCAACTGTTGCGACAACTTCAAGTTAACTCTAACTTGAAAACTCTAAGTGCCTAATACAATTGCTTCTAGATAAAGCTGAAAGGTACAATACGAAAATTCCTACTACAATTGAACTAGAATAAAAGATAGACACTTGGAACTGGTTTTTCTATCTGGTTCAAGTAGCTTTAGGATTGCACGCTTGAATCACACATAAATTGCTTGCAAAATTGCTCTCAATTCACGTTTAACTTCTGCTTATGTGCGTTATCTGTAAAAGAGAACAACACTGATATTTAAAGAGTTAGTAAACAGAGATTGACTAGAATACTGATGTTACTCTTCCTTGGTAGAAGAGTTCTAGTTAATCTCAACCTCTAACTCTATCCATCTCTTAAACCGTGTTCTCTTTGAGTAAGGAGTCTTTCTCCTTATCTAATATGCAACATTTTCGATCAGGATCAGGAGATATCACTTCTGGTAAGTGAGGTTTATCTCCTTCACGTGCATCTCACACGTGACAAATTATCTTATCTAAGCACAATTTTATTTAAAATAAAATGACAAATACAATATTTTGTATTTGAATCGATCTGGAATCTAAAATTTTGAAGAAATTACGTCTTTATAAGTGTAAACAGTTCTAAGGTTATTTAAGTCATTTTAACAGAAAAAGAGCTTATCAGCACTTTTTAATCTAATATTGCAGCAACTTATTATCAATTTCAACACTTGTATCCAAACACGTAATTGCTTATTTATTAAATCAGTTTCAGCACTTAAAAATATTTTTCAGCACCTAATGCTTATCAGCTACTTCAAATAAGCTAATCCAAACGGGCTCTTACTCCCTCCGTTCCAGTTTATGTGAACCTATTTTATTTTTAGTCCGTTCCAAAAAGAATGATTCCTTTTTAAATATGAAAATAATTTAGCTTAAACTTTCAATGCTACCCTTAATGAGAAGCTTTTATAACCACACAAATACTCTGGACCTCTATTTGACTTGTTTAAGACCATAAATTCCAAAAGTCTTCATTTTTTTTTAAACTTCGTGTCCAGTCAAACAGGTTCACATCAATTGGAACGGAGGGAGTACTTTATTTTTCATAGTACTAATTCCATTTTCGTGTATTCTTGCATGTAATTATTATGTGACCTGATATATAATGAAAAAAAAAATTATTTAAGTTATATGCAGTGTTAGTGTAAAAAACATTTATCTGTATACATCCTTTGGGGTAACTTGATAGTGTGAAGAACTCTTTACACTAATGGTGTATATTATACTCTTTAAAAAAAAGTACAAGGAAGTTAAACTCATATTTTAGTTATATTCTTAGCCGTTACCCTCTGATCTTTCTTCACTCTTTCTTATCAAGCTGGACTACTATATGTTATTAAATGAGGAAAAGATGTTTTAGAATCATTATGGTAGCAATGGCATATTCTTGCTACATTAATTTGATTCCTAGAATTTGCATGCATGGTTCACGTGTTTGCACCACTATGTTCTCTACAGATTAACACATGCAATGGAATGAAATGTGGAGAAACATTTAAAGGGCCAAATTCACCCAATAAGCCGTCACTCTGGACAGAGAACTGGACAAGCTTGTAAGACTTCATTCATTATCCAACTCTACAAAATTCAGAGTTCTTATTCAAAACTAACACTTGCTTATTTCTATTTCTATTTCTATTTTGTAGCTATCAAGTGTATGGTCAGAATGTAACACTTAGATCAGCAGAAGATATTGCCTTTCAAGTTGCTCTGTTCATCGCAAGGAAGAATGGAACGTACATAAACTATTACATGGTAAATTCAACAATACCCTGTAATATAATGCTAATCAAATCTTATTTTATATTTTCGTCTATTTTAGAGGGAAAGGTTTTACTACACCTTTTATAGTCCTGAAATGCCAAGTGGCCTATATATAATATTAGCAACTAAAAATAGAGCTAATATTACATTGGACTCTCAAATCTTTCTTGGCTTTATTATCAGTATCATGGAGGCACAAATTTTGGCAGGACTGCTGCTGAATTTATGATAACAAGTTATTATGATCAAGCTCCACTTGATGAGTATGGTAAGTTATCCTAACATAGATCTTTTTGGATTCAAGTTATAAATACTAGTAACAACTTTTACAATGAATTTTAACATATGATAACAAGTAAATCATCTTTATCAGGTTACATATTAATGTACGTCATAGAGATTTACTTTAATTTACATGGTCAGTGCATAGAACTTAAACTCAATAGTAAGCATTGTGATGCAGGTTTAATCAGAGAACCAAAATGGGGTCATCTGAAGGAATTACATGCAGCAGTAAAGTTATGCTCGGAAGCTATACTTTCTAGTTTTCCCACCATGCAATCTTTAGGTCAACTACAGGAGGTAGCACAAGGCCATTTAATTTTTTCAAGAATTTACTGAGCCATGAATCGAATGACTCACTGGCAAACTGTACTTCAAATCTGCAGGCTTATGTATTCAGTGGAGATTCAGGAGCTTGTGCAGCATTCCTGGTGAACGCAGATAATAGAAGAAGTGCAACGGTGCGATTCCAAAATTTGACATACCAATTACCTCCAAAATCTATAAGCATCTTACCTGACTGCAACATTGTAGCCTTCAATACAGCCAAGGTACCTACCTATCTTCATTTTGAACATCAGATCACATTTTGTTTTTACTTGTTTTGTTTTATATATAGTGGTGTTTCAACGGGCATGAAATTTTTAAAAAAAAAAAAATAAAGACGTTTTGCACATACTAGAAGTATCATTAGTATTTATGACATTTTTATGGCTACAAGAGCGTGTAATCGAGATAAAAAGGAAAGAAGGTTGTCATTTTTACTCACAACGAAGTAAAGAGAGAGAGAGAGTATCATATAAAATGAAACAGATGGAGTATCAAGGATTAATTAACTTAATTTGCTCTTTTCTGTATTCAAGAGCCTAATAGGCTTACCTACTTACCAACAGACCATGTAAGAAATGTTCTGATCTGTACATACCAATAATCATGTGCGATAGGTGAGTACTCAATTCAACACAAGAAGTTCGAGGCCAGTATTCAAGTTTGATTCAGCTGAGAAATGGGAACAATTCCAAGATGTTATTCCGCAATTTGATGCAACCACACTGAGATCACAAACATTACTGGAGCAAACGAATACTACGAAAGATGCCTCCGATTATCTTTGGTATACTGCCAGGTAATTGAATTCCAAACACTCCGTAGTATGTCGCATAACTTACAGAAACAGGACTGCTTTAATACCAGATTAACGAAATCTTGTAATGCATCGCGAGAAATGCAACCAAACTCTTTTAATTTGTTACTACTAGCTGTATTTATCTTCTAACTTATGTCTTAATTTATGTGATAGTTTTGAGCAGGATTCTCAGGAGCAGCAGGCTAGACTAAGTGTGAAGTCCTTAGGACATGTTTTACATGCTTTTGTGAATGGAGCTCTTGTGGGTGAGCACGATCTGTAAATTTGCAGCATATATAATATATAATGAGATTGGTGTTTACTTGTCTAAGATATAACGACGAATAGGGTTCACTTCATGGGTATAAAGAGAATCATCAATCCGTTGGATCATCTAATATCAATAGGTTGATTGTTTCGCTTATATTCTATGACATGTATACGTAACGATACAAAGTGTATTCTATTTAAGGATAGAGTAATTATCTAGCAAAGTAAAATTGGATGAAATTATTCATAATTTTAATTTTTTTTTTGTTGTTGTCTTCTCTTTTTGTAGGTTCTGCTCAAGGACAATTTAGAAATACATCATTTACACTAGAAAGCATGGTTGCTCTAAATAAAGGGACAAACCAAATCTCATTACTAAGTGCAACGGTTGGCTTACCGGTTTGTACTTAATACTGCATTTTTCATATTTTCTTTTAAGTTTTCCTGGATTAAGATTAAATATAAAGATCACTCTCTATACCTGAATACATTGTCAATTACAGTATTATAGTTTAATTTTCTTACAATTGTGTGTTGTTAATTAGTGTTAACTACTTAAAAACTTTCTTTTTCTAATTGCAGGATTCAGGAGCATTTCTTGAGCGCAGGTCTCTGGGCGTACGTTCAGTGATTATTCAAAACAGTCTAGGGGTCAAAATTTTCACTGTTTTCCCCTGGGGTTATCAGGTAATTGCTGGCCACAAATAATATTGCCTTTAGTATCTATTAGCTTCACCTAATTTTTCCATCCATTAATTTTTTAAAACAGAAAACCTCTGGTTTTAGCTTTCAGGTTAAGCATAATTATATATTTAGAGAGCATAATTTTTATGTTAAGCTTTCTTTTCGAAATGGTGTGTTTAAGGTTGGACTGTTGGGTGAAAAGTTACAAATTTACACATATGAAGGATCAAAGAATGCTAATTGGAGCAGCTTAGGCTCTTCTCAACAGCTCACATGGTACAAGGTAAGTATATTGATCCTTCGTATAAATTGTATAATAGACCTCTTCGGACCTATTGTACGCAATTTTACATTACATTTTACGAGGTTGTTTCTGTGCCTTAAACCTGCCACGTCCTGATCATACTTTGTCAACTTTTACCGCTACACAAGGCTCTTTTACTACCTCAATTTTTAGAAATTTATTATTTATCGTTATTGTTAGGATTATTAATCTTTATAAATAAGTACTCATGTAATGGTTGATTAAGATAAGAGTGGGTTGCTTTAGTGGTGAGCACCCTCCACTTCCAACCAAGAGATTGTGAGTTCGAGTCACCCCAAGAGCAAGGTGAGGAGTTCTTGGAGGGAGGGATGCCGAGGGTTTATCAGAAACCCCTTAGTTAGCGTTTGTTCTTTTCTCTCTAAGTGGGCGTTTGGACATAAGAATTGTAAAAATTCAAAAAATGGTGAATTTTGAGTTGTGTTGGGACATGAATATAATTTTGGGTTGTTTTTGAAATTTTGTGAGTGATTTGAGTGAAAATTTTGGAAAACAGATTTTTAGAGTTTTTCAAATTTTCGAAAATTTCCAAAATGCAACTTCAAGTGAAAATTGAAAATTTTATGAACAAACGCTGATTTCGGAAAAAAGTGAAAATATTTTGGAAAAAAGGAAAAAAATTTCTTATGTCCAAATGGAGCTCTAAATCTATTTCTTTATTCTTTCAAAAATATTGGTCGTGTCCTGCATCACCTAGTTTAAAATTCTGATATCTGTAGTAAACTTTATATTTTAGTCGACCAATAATTCAGTCAACTGCATTTTCACAGTCCATTTTCAGTGCACCCAAGGGTGATGGTCCAATTGCTCTAAATCTTGGGTCCATGGGGAAAGGTGAAGCTTGGGTTAATGGCCAAAGTATCGGCAGATATTGGGTCTCATTTCACACATCTGCAGGTCTTCCTTCACAAACTTGGTACGTTAGTTATATACAAAATTCGTTACACCGTCAGTGTGTATAAATTCAATTTTATGCGTGTGAGCAAGAGAAGGACATGAGTGCCGTATAATAATGTTCAACTGTGTATTTGTAGGTACAATGTTCCAAGGTCATTTCTCAAACCTAGAAATAACCTACTAGTTATATTTGAGGAAGAAATGGGCAACCCTCTTAACATCACTTTAGACGCAATTTCAGTCACAAAGGTATGCGCGCACGTCACAGATTCGAATCCAAAATCTACCCTTGCTCCACTTAATAATACCACAAGTTTATATGAATTCCAGGCCTGTTTAGGGAAGGCAAAATGCACTGTTGCCCAGTCATATAAGAAATTCGGCAGTGATCCGTGTCCTGGAGTTCATAAGTCTCTGCTGGTTGATGTTCAGTGCGAATGAATACACAACTTATCATCTCCTTCTTTTTGCTCTTTATAAATGGAAGATGTATAGAATTACAGGGATGTATAGGTGCATTCATTTGATACATGTACGTCCATATAATTATAAGTTGAACTAGAGAATTTTCCCAATATGTTAGCGAATTTAGAAATAGCTTTAATAAATTCAATCAGAATAGAAGACATACAAATTTCTACATATAAAAGATAATTCTAGCACTGAGGCACAGAATTCATCCTTTAACATATATTAAGCTCCAACTTTTGGCAGGCCAAGAAGTTACTCCATAACTTAAAAGTTACTACATAGACAACTTACTCTAAGCAAAAGAATGCAAATAAGTCATGACAAAAATCAAGAGTAAACAAATCATATTCAAGATGTTTCCTACAGAAAAAGTACAGTCCATACACTATAATGGAAAAGTACAGTTTCCCATTGTGAAACTACCTTTATAATAAATTTTTTCACAAGTTTTCATCTTTCTAAATAAACGAAATCCGAAAAGGATTAATTACGTAATTTGCTGCATTGGTAAAACAATAGCAGCGGAGCAATTTATAAACCAGCATCTTTTTTCTTTTTCTTTCTAGCATCAACTGCCGCATCTCCTGAATAGAAGATCCACTGAAAATATTATGAACTTTTCATTTATCTATTGGCAATCCCTAGCCAAAATAGAGTGATACTTCCCGAAAAAGGGATAGATTAATGAAAGCGATAAAAAGAAGAACGATTATACTTTCAAGAATGAAGGTCTTTTGAGATAAACATAATCTAGTTTATCCTCAAATCTCAGTCATTAAAAAACAAATTGAATTCTTAAAAATAAATTAAAAGAGGGAACCCTTTGAATTTATGGACACAAGGAAAATTGGGACTTAACTGAACTTTGTTTAATATACTAAAATCCAATTACAATTGCGGAAGGATAACAATAAAAAAGTACAGGTAAGTAACTAAAGGAAGAAGGAGGTGAGTGAGAGACAGAATAGAAAGGGGATGGGAATATGCAGAATTCTTCAACAGCATCAATAGACTGCTCTATCACACGCACAACACATGAATTACTTACAATGGGTCCAATATATAATCAACCAAACTTCTATTTGGATGCCTTAATCTGGTGCTCCTTAGAATGGTCCCGGATGAACCTATAATAAAATGCAAACTCTGTAGGATAACCATGACAAAGTGTCTTTAAAAGAAAAAATAGTACTAATGACAACATGATCACTAATAAAAATCATGTCGCTAGAAAAGAAAAAAAAAATATTGGAGCACAAAATATTTCTGTTGATGCTGAAACTTTGATTGACATTTTCTTCTCACTGATCCTCTCAAACAGTGAAACAGACCCACAAATTCATCAGACAAACTAACACCAAGAATATCAACGAAGACGAATTAAATACGGAAAAAGTTTGAAGTAATCAACGATTCAATGGGGTCAATACTACCTATAAGTATTTGGTGGAGGCAGGAAATAATAGTAGAAACAAATACAGTAAAAAGATTGAGAATGGGAGATAAGGGAACTAAGGTTGTCAACAATGGCTTTTCCTGGGCCTTCCACTATTACTATCAAGGAATGTAACGTTTCATTATTAATACCGCGAAACGTTTCATTATTAATTTTACTAATAATATGAACTTAAGGCTCTTTGGTTAAGAGACCTGACTCTTCAGGTTTGTTTAGGCAGATCACAGGAAGAAGTAAAATAGCCAAAAAAAATAGGAAAAAAAGATAAATACTAATTCTGAACAATGGAAGGTGTCACGTAACTGTTTTATATAAATATATAGATTTTTATAGACGTAACGTTACCAACATGTTAGAAATTTGAAAATGTTAGCTATCTAGAGGGGAGCTCTTGGAAGTTCAATTCTACGACAATCAATGAAATAAAAAGCTATGTACTTCCAAGATTAATGTTGTTCTTATCAGATGAACTTTTGTTCATTTATTTGCACGCAGCCTGCAATTATACTTCCAATTTCATTCATTTTGTATGATGGACCTTTGCAAAAAGTAGTTCCAAAATCATCATTCCCGTCATCTATTGCAGAACTTTTCTTTAAAAATTTATTATACATGAGGGAGGGGGGAGAAAAATGAGAACGGTAGGAGTCCAACCCCACCATAAGGTTTGAAATTAACTTTTTGTTCTTTGTGTTTTTTATGCCTTAAATTATTTCCTTATATTTATGGGTAACTCATAATTCCTATAGGTTTGGGAAAACTCATTGTTCTAATAGATTTGGGAAAGGAAAACCTATTGTCTTTGTCAAATTGAGAAACCTTTCTCTTATAGGTTTAAAATTATTTGGGATCTATATATAGAGGTTGTAGTTGGGGATTCTATAGATTGTATTGTGTTTTTCTTCTCATCATAGTGGAAAACTCTCTCTGCTTCTGCCCTGAGGATTAGGCTTAGCCGAACCTCGTTAAATCCTTGTGTTATTTTTTTCTTCTCTAATTGCTTTGTTTGTGATTGTGTGCTAGTTAACCCACGATCTTCCACAACAATTGGTATCAGAGCAAGGTTCGAGTTTCTACATATAATATAGAGTTAGGATGTCTTCATCATCTTCAACACAAAGTACGAAGTAGAAAATTTGAAGGGTGTTCTAGTTTCTAGAAGATTAGGATGAAAATCATCCATGGTGTTACAAGGGTTATGGAAGGCAATTGATGAGGATTTTCCTTAACAGAAGAAAGAGATTGGGAAGGAAGGCTTGAAGGAGAGGGCTTTATGTGCGATCTTCATAAGCGTTACAGATAGCGTACTTTGGGAAATTACTGAAGAAACTTCTGCAACAACGACATGGAAGAAGCTGGAAGATATATATTCTAAGAAATCGCTTACAAATCGCTTCTACCTGAAAATGAGGTTATATAATCTATATATGAATGAAGGTACACCTATTAAAACTCACCTTGATGAGTTTAATTCAATTATAATGGGCCTGAAGAACATGTATATCAAAATTGAGAGTGAGGAGCAGACCTTGATTGTGTTATGCTCTTTACCACCGTCTTATGATACTTTTGCTGATACGCTGCTATATGGAAAGACAATATTTCACTGGAAGACGTTAGTAATGCATTAAAATCTAAAGAGTTGAAAAAGAGCTTTCCAGATAGTAGAATTGAGAATGAGGATCTTTGTAAGTAAAGGAAGAACACAACAAGGGAACTTTAGCAGGAAAAAATCAACCGCCAGATCGAAGTCTAGAGCAAGAAGCAGAACTACTATGAATGAGGGGAGCAAGGTCTTGACAAGAGAGATTGTCCCAAGTTGAAATACTTAAAGTATGTAAAGGCTCCATGGTACTCATGAAGTAAACTGCATTTTAAATTGTATCATCTTCAAGCCAGTGTAGTTGAAGGGGAAGCTATTGTAGCTTCTAAAAAAAGTAATCTAAATCAATCTCAGTTGTGGCACCTACGCTTGGTCGTATGAGTAAAAGGGATTGTCTTTGTTGAGCAAGCAGAATTTGCTGGATGGGTACACAAATCAAGCTTTGAATTTTTGTGAGTATTGTGTGTTTGGTAAACAAACAAGGGTAAAATTCAGCAAGAAGGAAGAGCACAAGACCAGAGACAAGTTAGATTATATACATTCGGACGTGTAGGGTCCAAATAGTCCCTCCAAAAGTGGTGCCAGGTATTTTATGACTTTGATTGATGATTACTCAAGGCTGGTGCGGGTGTATTTTTTTTTTTGAAAATAAAAGATGAGACATTTTCGACATTTATTAAACGAAAAAGAGTCAAATATATCCCTCTACTTTCAAATATTGTTTAAACCTACCCTCTGTTACACTATCTGGTTGATTTAAATACACTTTCAAACAAGTTTGTGTTGCAAATTACTTCTATGAAATATACTAATAATGATTAACTAGAGAGTTGAAATTAGAAATTGACTAATTATTTTTTGTTATTTTCAAATAGGCAAAAAGGCTAGAAATATAACCTTCACCTAGGTGTTAGCCTAATAGATTAATTATGTTAACACTTGTTTAGCCAGGAATCCATAAAAACGGGGATGGGCCCCACCACTCTGACCTCCGCCCCTCAGACGGTCTCTAGCTTGCTGGCCTCCACCTCTAACGGCCTTACCTCCACCTCTAATAGCCTAACCTCCACATCTGGCAGCCTGACCCCCGCCTCTACCTGGCTGAGCTTGCGGTGAAGCAACCGATGTCGAAACTATGGCACGAGAACCCTGCTGGTGCATGTCGCCCTATGATCTGGCGCAAAACCTAGAAAGGTGCCTCGGATGCCCACAAGTATAACAAGCCTTCTGCTATTATGACTGATGACCCTGGCACTGGCCCTGTCGACCTGAATAACCACTCTGATAACTATGGATCAGAGGTGCACTAATAGGAGCTGATGGTGCACTGTAGACTAGCTGTTCAGGATGATATACATAAGGAACACGACTACTCGAAGCATCTTGGGATGACTAAAGCGCTAACTAAAATGGCCTAGGAGGATGGCCTCTACCAAAGGCACCCCTACCTCCCAACGAGACACCAATGAAGCCACCAAAATGACGAGGCCTCTTATCATATACCAACCTCCTCTTCTGACTACGAACCATCTCGATCCATCTAGTAATCTCTATGGCCCTATGGAAAGAAATATCATCTCTGATCTCCTTGTCCATCTGCAGCCTAATACTGAAAGTGAGACCATCAATGAATCTCCTCACTCTCAGTAGGAAGTAAAATAATCACATGGCGAGGTAGGTCCACAAATCGAGTCTCATACTGGGTGACAGCCATGCCACCCTGCTGAAGGCACTCAAACTGCCTATGGTACTCTTCTCTCAGAGTAAAAGGAATGAACTTCTCTAGAAATAGCTATGAAAACTAATCCTAGGTAAGTGAAGGTGAACCAATTAGTCTAGTCAACACATAATATCTCCACCATCTCTTGGCAGAACCGATCATCTCCAACACTGCAAAGTCAACCTCATTGGTCTCAACAATACCCATATTGCGCAACACCCCGTGGCAGTGATATAAGTAATCTTGTGGGTCTTCAAAAGGTGCACCACTGAAATGAATAAGAAAGAGCTTGGTAAACTTATCCAGCCTCAACAAGGCTTTAGAAGACATAG